GCGTGGGGCCACGTCTAATCTTATCTACAGGATAATTAACTAATGCGCCTGCGAATTTCGGATGACCCTCTCCAGGAGTTTATTGATATTCGTCCTACAGTCCTATATTCGTCAACATGCTTGCGATAAATGAACTTCAAATGATATAGTACAAATGTTAATTTGCAAATGAATTGTTTACATTTTGTGCCCATCTTTTATAAATTATATATGCTGTGTCTTTCCTGGCATGGACGCACGGGAAACGTATTTACTTTCTGGTGTTTCAGACATCTATAAGAGTTGCATAACTCGAGTTTTAAAAGGTTCACGGTATCATATTGCCGAATTAACACACAAGGTTGTAATGTACTACTTATAAGGTCGCTAAAATTCGTCAACAGCCCACGACCGGTTCCGCCCTTCTTGGAGCTCATCAGGTAGGCGCAGCCCCCGAGTTTCCGTCGGTCAAATTGCACGAAATAGGCGAAATACACTTATTTGCAAGCAAATTTGTTTTTGCGGTTCGGGTACAAGTAGAACGTAAGGTTGACGGAAACTCGGGGATTGCGCCTATCTGATGAGCCCCAAGAAGGGCGAAACCGGTCGCGAGCTGTCGTCGAATTTTCAGTAACCTTATGAGTAGTAAATTGCAAAATACACATGCATAGCGATATCTCGAATATCGTGGCGACTGAAACATGAGACGGCCTGGTTCAGCACATTCAGTTGCCTGGAATCACTACAAATGGGAGATTCAGCTGGGTTCCAAGTGAGTCACTCGAAAAACCAAATTAGTTTGTAAACGAGGGTATTTCGCTAACACACAAGGTTTCTTAAGGTGTCTGGTTTTTACGAAATACCTGTTTTCATTTAAACAAACTGCCTTACTAAGAGAAAGTAAACCTAGACGTAATACTCTACTCATAGGGTCGCCGAAGACTATTTGAGAGCCCACTATCGATATCTCGAAAGTTGACTAACTAAAGTCGCTGAAAACCCTTCGATATCACAAATAACCATCATAAACAAGAGATTCAGCTGGATTTGGTTGAGTCTTCTGTCACAATCAGATGTGTCGAAATGAAATTTTCCGCGTTTCGTTTCCCACAACCTTCCGTACGCTTGCTGACCGTCCTAAAGGAGAATAACCCAGATGTGTTTTATTGACACAGTTGTTGCTCTTCATCTCAAAAGTTGACTGTACATCGCGGTACGCCTGCCCTACTGAAGAGCTCTTTGAAATTGAGAAGGCATGCAGGTCTACCTTTGACCAGAAAACCAAGTCAAAACAAACTTCAAGCGTAACACAATTATAGTATCCCGGCCCAGTTGACAATTGGGACTATAAAAAAAATCCCACAAAATCACCCTGATAAAAAGAGGACAAGACTGAGCCCTGTTCATTGTAGAATCTTAAAGCTGCATTCGATATTTGTGTTTGCCAGCGCATTTTGTACAAAGTTTTTTCAAGCAGAAATTTGAGAAAAAGTCAATCGCAAGCCAAACTTTTGTTCTTAGTAGCGGCTGTTTAGCTACTGCAGAGTGTCTACTCTAAATTAATAGCTCAACTTATCTCAAGTTTCCATCAACCCCACATTCTACTTGAGCGACCCGCTAAGTAAACACATTTTCAAGTCAATATGGTGTTTAGGAGAGACGCAACTGAATCCCAGCTGAATTTTTCATACGTGCGATTCTTCTTTAGGTGATTGTGCACAAAACTCGCCTGAAGTTCCTTCTCATGAAGCATGTTCGAAATATTAGGAACAAGAAATTCAGCTGGAATTCAGCTGTCATCCATTTACATCAAATTGATTCGCAAATGACCAGAGTTGATTTGAGAACGGTCGGATTTAAATGATACACCAAAGAACCAGTCTTAGTTTGAGTTGAATGATGTTTATCCAATAATGTTGGGGTCTTTTTATGGAAACTTTTGAAGTGAGTGGGGAGGATGTCACTTCAAAAGGGCTGAAGAAATTCAGTATTCCTTTAACGATTGAGGAATAGAGCCCTTTTGAGCCGGCTTTCTGGTGATAATTTGCATTGCTCGTGGTATAGTTAATTTTCGTCGAAAGTGGGGCATCCCTTAAAATCACCATCCAATTAGCTAATCAATCTTGTATTCCAGCACGCGAATGATAAAATTAGGGGCAGTCCTATCTTGCTTTACAAGCAGAGTGGACAACTTAGCTCAGAAGAATCTCCAATCTCGGGGACCAGTCTTATGGATCTACAACAGTCCAACATATGTACTACTTGATGATGGTTGAAAGAACGATTTTCGCTAGAGAACTTACCTACTTTAATACACTATGATCAGACACTTCACGTACGCTAAAACTGGTTGTTCATTTTGTGCTACTGTAGAGATCCAATCACCGGAAGCGGTCAGACGGAATCCCAAACTTCGGATGAAGCAGATGTTTCCGTGAAATTTGTTGAACTAGATCTGGTAAGTCAGTTGTTTTCTTTCGGAGGACTATTGCATTGGATAGTTAATCCTGATGTGAGGTGCCAACCTGTTGAGATCAGGTTCTGTGTAACGAAGGAAAGTTCATTAAAGTGCAAAAATGTTGATTTGATGATTTCAACGCACACATCTTTGAGTCGTTTCCAGATGGAAGCAGGTGCCAACCTGTTGAGATCAGGTTCTGTGCAAAAGTGTTTGCACGTAGAGTCAGTTGTACTCTGAGCGACGCCGGGTTTTATGCAGTATCTTCAGAACTCGAAGAATAATAAACTTTCTTATTTGCAAATTTGTTTATTCCACCTTTTACGAAAATTGTCATGTTTAATTACAAACGATAGCTGATGGAAACTAGCGGACTATGTCGTCGTGATTAATCCCGACAAGTCTCTTTGGTAACCTTATGAGTAGAATATCTTTTCCACGAAATATGCATCGAGATATTGGGCATCGGTCCATTTGTTCGGGATATTTGCTTGAAAGATGTCAGAAACGAAAACCTCAACTTGGTCTCTCGTTAACACCAATGTAATTTGCAAATGAGCATACTGCATCATTTGCGACCAATCGGATGTCCACTTTGCACAGACGTTTGGTTAAAACCTGCAAACTACGTCTAACTGATAAGTCCTCTGGAGGACGAAATAGCTAGTTGGCTATCGAAGAATTTCCAACAAATTCCCGAGAAGTGTGTTTTGTCAAGGAATTATGGCTCCCTTGATGAGCCACCCTCAACTGACAAGATCAGTCCTTCTGGTGAAAACGTTTGTTTCTAAGCCATAAAATAGAAGCTTCCACGGGCTTTTACGTGGACGAATCCTCATCGGCTGAATGAGACCAATTGAAATCTGTACCATGTGGCAGCGCTAGGGTTAAATCCTACTCACTCTTCGACAGCCGATTTCCTCATATTCATTTTTTTGGATCAGGTAGATATCAAAAGGTAGTCCGGTAGCTGAAGGTCAGTTTGTTATCCTTAACCCTAACCACCTCGTTGGTGGATATGGATCTACAGTTAGTTCCCAACATCTTTATCCATAACCACTGCTGTTCTGCCACACTTTTTGGACAGCCAACCATTGGCTACTTTCCTCACAAGAATTCCTAGAGGTATCTTGCTCCCCAAGGTTTTCGTACGTTGACATAATTACTGATACATATTCATGTGAACATTCGTGAACAAAAGATGCAACTAACTCTTAGCTAAATCTCCTGTTTTACAGCAATATCGCTCGTTTTTAACATTGGTTTCCAGCTTTTCGGAGAAAAAAAGCCAGGAAACTTTCATTCCTTCTTAGGATACACCACAGTAACGCTGTTATAAAGTGCGCTGGTACAGCCAAGTAGTCGTTTCAACGAAGTAAAATAAATCGTTCAAATCACAACGATAGATCAGTGGTTTTTTCGTGCTAACAGCGAAATGGAAGAACATGCCAACTTCAGTAGAAATATGTTCTTTGTGAGAAATAACCTGACGGTCGGTATTTGTCCGCTTAAACTGTTATTTGCGTTTGGTTTTCAAACGACTATCTAAATATCAAGGCCTGTATAGATTTGTGTCGCAAATGAGGCTCAATTTTTTGTTCCCTCTTTTACCGCCAATTAACTGAGAGTGCAGTGTTTCTGCAAATTTAATCGTCAAACTAGCCTGCCTTCCAAGAACTACCGGGCTGAAAAATCATAGCGGATAAGTCTGGAGGCGAGTTATTCTAAATAAATGAACATCACTCCGACTGGGAATATGTGCTAGGAGTAGGCTATGGGCCGAGAGAAGCAGGTCTCTGATTGGTCAGAATGCGAGACAATCATGATCGAATATTTTTAGCTCGGAGCTTTTCGTACTCCGTGATCCGCTCATAAATACAATAGTAATTTTCTTCTGTATAAAAACTTTTAAGAGCCGCTGTGTTTTCTGGTATATCGTAGTAGGCGGAACAGAAAGCCGGAGACCAAAATAGGAGCTGGAACACCGTACAAGACAGGATACACAAGTTCCTCACTACGATTTCCTTTTTAGCAGATGGTCCCCGAAAAGCAACATAAGACAGCTAACGGAATTGAATTCAGAGTTTTCACTTGCATGTCGTTGCAGAGAGTTTATAGCATAGGTGCAGTTCATACAAGCCGCCGTATTAGTCGACTTCTTTTGACTTAACTTGTTTCAGTTGATAATTTGGCTTTGCGTAGATTTAATGCACCATCCGCTGGAATACCCGACAGCTGGGACACCGAGTAAAGCTAAGAAAGCTAAAGTACAGCGTGAGAGAGCGAACAAAGACCCAAGATTTATCGATTCTAAAATAATCATCACTGTTTTTGTCATGTGTGTAGACTTATTTGATGGTTCTCAGCCTAGTTTAGCTTGTAGCGGTTAACGGCCCTATGGAGTCTCTAGTGAACTGAGCAAATTACTGATGTAAGCCAGATGCAAAGTCAGAAGGAGAAAAATCCAAGTAAATCTTAACTCACAGTTCAAAATAGGAGATTCCGTAGTTGTGTCGTCAAATGACTTCCCGCATGCAGGGCTTTGCATGTGACGTAGCAGTTGCTAAGTTGTGCGATCGCCCAGTTTGACCCCTGCAAGCAATTTTTGCAGATTCGCTTCGTCCGGAGTGGCTGTCCGTTTAATAATTGCTGTTTTTAGTGTGGTGTAGGGATTTGATGCCAACATAGGATCCATCAGGTCAACAACCTCCGTGGCAACCTCGGACGGTAGTTGAGAAACCATGTAAGAAAACATGGTCTGCTGTGAGGTAATTCGGCGAAAATGGAAGTAACATTCCAGTTGGATAAACCATACTCTAGGGTTACTGACTTCAAAAGCTGGCAGTTTTACGTGAACGGCGTTTTCAACCAACTCAGTGT